GGGACCCCCCGCCCCTGGGGGGGCCCCTGGGGGGGCCCCTGGGGGGGCCCCTGGGGGGGCCCCTGGGGGGCCCTCTGGGGGGGCCCCAAGAGCTGCTGCTCAGCTGCTGCTGCACTGGATGCCGCTGCTGCATGCGGCGGGCATTCTAGGGCTGTGCTGCCCTCTGGGGCTTTCTGTTTGCTGCTGCTGCTGCAGTCTCGTGGGCTAGGAAGCAAAGTGGTTGCTGCAGCGGCTGCTGCTGCTGCAGCTTCTGAAGCCGTGGCAGTTGCGGTGGATGCTGCAGCTGGACTCGCAGCTGCAGCAGCCATTGGTGCAGCTCCTGCTGCATCTGCTGCAGCCGCTGCATTTGCTGCAGCTGCTGCAGGAGCTGCAGCAGCGGCAGCTACTGCAGCAGCGGCAGTTGCTGCAGGAGCTGCAGCAGCGGCAGTTACTGCAGCAGCGGCAGCTGCTGCAGCAGCGGCAAGCGCTGCCACCGCTGACGGCGACGCAGCTGCTGTAGGTGCTGCAGCAGCTATAGGTGCTGCAGCAGCTGCAGGTGCTGCAGCAGCTGCAGGCGCTGCAGCAGCTACAGGTGCTGCAGCAGCTGCAGGTGCTGCAGCAGCTGCTGCTGCGCCTGCAACAGCAGGAGCTGCTGCAGCATCGGAAGCAGCTAGCGACCGCGCAGCCACGCGGGTCCCAAAGGGAGCAGCAGCATCCCCACTAAAGACTTGCTGCTGCTGCAGCTCTTTAGTGGGGCTGCTGCTGCTGCTGCTGCTGCTGCTGCTGCTGCTGCAGGGGGGGGGCTTTGGGGCTGGCGCCTTTGCATGCGTTTGGGGGGCTGCATGCGCTGCTGTGTCTGTGGCCTCAGCAGCAGAAGGAATGGACCCCGGGGGCCCCCCATCAGCAGCAGCAGCAGGACTGGACCCTGGGGGCCCCCCATCAGCAGCAGCAAACGGGCCACAGGGGGAGGCCCCATAACTGCAGGGGGGCCCCCCAGAAGGCGACTGGGGGCCCCCTGCAGGGGCCGGGGGCCCCTCCTGCGTGGGGCCCCCCATCCAGCTCGCAAGAACCTGCTGCTGCTGCTGCTGCTGCTGCTGCTGCTGCTGCTGCGGCTCGAGAAAGGCCCCGGGGGGCCCCCCGTCTGCTGCTGCGGGGTGGAAGAGGGCCCCCCGCAGCAACTTGAGGCCCCTGAGGCCAATGCGTTTGTGGAGAGACACCAGAACAGCATATTGTCTCCTTTCTGAAAGGTCCAGTTCGAGGGCCCTGCAGCTGGCGAGGGCCTTGAGGTGCTCCGCAGTCCTGCTGCTGCTGCTGCTGCTGCTGCTGCTGCTGCTGCTGCTGGCGTGCATGCAGGGGGGGCCCCGCGCTGCATGCGCTGCGCTGCTGTGGGGCTTGTCAGCCCCCCGCTGCAGCAGCGCTGCATGCGCAGCAACAGCAGCAGCTTCGTCGAGGCCTCGGGCGAGGCCAAAAGAGCTCCCGAAGCCTCTGTGGGCAAACGCCCCCGCGGGGCGGGGCCGCTGCGCTGCTGCTGCTGCTGCTGCTGCTGCTGCTGCTGCAGCAGCGTCTCCCGCCCCGCTTCCTCGCCCGCAGCTGCTGCTGCTGCTGCTGCTGAGGGGGCGGTGCGGGCTCGTGGAATGTGCGGGCGAAGAGGGGCTGTGTGCGTGGGGTGCGAGCGGGCGCGAGCTGCTGCTGCTGCTGCTGCTGCTGCTGCGCTGCTGCTGCTGCTGCTGCTGCGCAGCAGCAGCGGCGGCGTCGCGAGTCCCCAGAGGCAGCAAGTAGGGCCGGACTGGAGGCAGCCAGAGCTCGGAGTAGTAGCCCTGGCCCCTGAGGCGAGGCTCGGAGACGGGGAGAGCAGCAAGAGCAGCAGGGAGGCCCTGAGGGTACCAAGGAAAGGGTACTGCGACCCGGGGGGCCCCATTGAGGGCCAGCAGCGCGGGGCCCCAGCAGCAGCAGCTGGTGTGGGCCCTGGCCAGCGTGAGCCAGTAGCGGGGCACTGTGGGGCACAGCTCCACTGCAGCAGCAGCAGCTCTTGCTGCCAGCAGCGGGAGGCCCCCCCGCAGCAGCAACTCAGCCAGCTGCCGCAGCAAACAAGCCTCTTCTGGGAAGGTACTGAGGCAGCGCAGCAGCGCTGAGACTGCGGGGCCCCAGAGGCCCCTGCGGGCGAAGGCCCGCGAGGCGTGGAGGCCCATGAGGGGCCACAGGGCCTGCAGCGAGGCCAGGGCCTCCAGCTGCTGCAGCAGCTGCTGCTGCTGCAGCAGCAACTCCGCCACCAGCTCGCACACCGCGTTTGTGCCTCTGCCAGTCGCCGGCAGCAGCCCCAAGAGGTCCCCCTCGGCAGCGTGCTTTTCGCAGAGTTCCAGGAAGGTCTTCGCGGCTTCGCAGCCCCCGGGGGCCCCCAGGGGGCCCCCCAGGGGGCCCCCCAGGGGGGCCCCCAGCGGGGCCCCCAGGGGGGCCCCCAGCGGGGCCCCCAGGGGGGCCCCCAGGGGGGCCCCCAGGGGGCCCCCCACCAACCGCAGGCAGGGGGCCCCCGGCGGCTGCTGCCGCCGCATCAAACCACTCAGGGCCGTGGACCCCCAAAAGCCCGCGGGCAAAGAGGGGCCCCCCAACTCTTTTCCGGAAGAGTCCAAAACTTTGAAGAAAACCCTCGAAGGCGCTGCTGCTTTGCAAAGAAGCTCCAGGCGCAAGTCTTGCTGCTGCAGCGCGTTGTAGACGCAGTAGACGCAGCGAGAGGCCCGCCACGCACGACGAAACCACCTGAAACCAAACCCTAAACCCTAAACCCTAAACCCTAAACCCTACACAATAAACTATAAACAATGAACGGTCGACAGGGCGCGGTGCCACGCGCCAACAAGAGCCCTGCGCGCTGAGCTACGCGCGCACTGGCAGCCACTTCCCCGCTGCCTGCCAAACCCTAAACCCTAAACCCTAAACCCTAAACCCTAACTGGCGAGCCCCAGCTCGGACCCTGTGGGCTGCTCTTGGCTCCGCAAAACTTGACAGAGATAAGCAGCAATTGGCGCAGGCTGCGAAACGTCGACGCCCACGACGAAACTGAAACACAAACCCTAAACCCTAAACCCTAAACCCTAAACCCTAAACCCTAAACCCTCAGCTCCTAGCCTCATCGTCTGCCTGGCCACACCCAGCCGAACTGCGCGGCCCCCAGAGGCCTCAAACTCCAATGAACCCCTGAAGTGCCCCCAAAAGGCCCCCTAAGGGACCCTTAGGGGCCCCCAGGGGGCCCCAGGGGGCCCCCAGGGGGCCCCAGGGGGCCCCCAGGGGGCCCCCAGGGGGCCCCCAAACCCTCACTGGCAAAAAGAAACCTCAACTCCTTCGGCGGGTTCATCTGGCCCCGCAAATATGCGGGAGAGACGCCAGTGTTGAGGAACTTTGTAAATGCAGCAGAGGTCGGGGGGCCCCAGGCCATCGAGTTCGCCTGCAGCAGCAGCAGCAGCAGCAGCAGCAGCAGCAGCAGCAGGTTCGGGGGCCCCACGCCGTCGAGTTCGCCCGCAGCAGCAGCAGCAGCAGCGGCGGCGGCGGCGGTAGCGGCAGCAGGGAGGCGGCGGTGCTGCTGCTGCTGGCAGCAGAACCCGCAGCAGCAAAGAGTGCAGCAGCAGCAAAGACTGCAGCAGCAGCAAAGACTGCAGCAGCAGCAAAGACTGCAGCAGCAAACCTACCCTTCAGCAGCGCAGCAGTGCGGGCCTCCAAGAGGGCCCCCTGGGTATCCACAAGTTCCCGGCAGTCTCGAGTTGTGGGCCACATGGCTTCAAAAAGGGTACTTCTGGGGGCCCCTCAGGGGTTCAGTCTGGGGGCCCCAGGGGGCCCCTCGGGGGTTCAGTCTGGGGGCCCTAGGGGGCCCCTCAGAGGTTCAGTCTGGGGGCCCCAGGGGGCCCCCAGGGAGCAGCTAGCTAGCTGCGCTAGCTGAGCTAGCTGCAGCAGGGGGCCCCCAGGAGGCCCCCAGCTCTGGTTGGGGGGCCCCCCTCGCAGCCCTGGCCTGCTGCAGCAGCAAGCTCATATGTGCAGCAGCTTTGCTGCTGCTGGAACTCCGCTGGGGGCCCCAAACCACCTCATCTTGCAGGGGGGGCCCCCCAAGGAGGCCCTGGGGGCCCCGGGGGCCCCTCGGGAGTTGCCGGGGCCCCAGGGGCCTCCAGCTGCTAGAAATAGGGGCCCCTGTTGCTGGGGGGCCCCCAGACTGACTAGGGGCTGGGGGGCCCCCTACCCCGCGGGCCGAGACAGCAGCAAGCGAGGCTGCAAGAGGCAGCGCTCTTGGCGGAAGGCAAAAGTAATGAAAAGTGAAGGGTTTAGGGTTTAGGGTTTAGGGTTTAGGGGTTTTAAGCGCCAAGACAGACTCGCAAAGAGCAGCAGGGGCCCCTGCAGACCAGCCGTCGCCGATACTCGGCGGCTCGGGTGTCGCAGGCAGCAACTGCCCGTAGCCCACCAACTCAGTCTGTAAATGCGAATTTTTTTTAATATTTGAAAACAAAACTCATTAATAATCTTTTTTGGTTTGCAAGAACGCAAATAAGGGCCCTCGACTGCCTGCTGGGGGCCCCTGGTGCTCAGGCTGGGGCCCCTGGCGCGGCTGTCGTCGCCCGCGGGGCCCCGCCTGGGGGCCCCCAACCTGGAGTTCATGCAAGATTGGGGCCCAAATAAAAGGGTTTTGGGTCTTTTAAAAGCCCTAAAGTGCAGACAAAGTGTCGGGCGGCCTCTGTGGACGCTTTCTCGCGGTTTGGCCACTTGAAAAGGTCCATTAGAGCTCGAGAAATGGCTGAAATGGCTCTGCAGGGCCCCCCGCCGCGGCGCAGCCAAATTCCCCTAGCCCAGGGGCCCCACAGCCCCAGGGGCCCCCCTTCCTTGCATGCGTTTGAGGCCCCTGAGGGGCTTTATAAAAGTCTTGTGAAGTTCCACTGAGCTTCTAGTCTGAGGACTTAGCCATATTTCGGCAATTGGGCTTTTCTTTCGCTGCTTAGAGAGCCCAGAAAGTGGTCAAGAGTGCAGCAACAGACTGGGGAGAAAGCGCTGTTTCTGTTGAGCGTTTTCTCTTTAATAACATTTGAATGAAATATATTTCTTTATGCCGCAATAAGCATGCATTAACATTAGATCAATTCATAATGGCAAATACCCTGATGGAAACACAAACATGACTCTTTAAACATATTATTACTTGCATGCATTTAACAAACTTCACCTAGCGCAGGCCCATTTCCTGGAACCTGCAGTTTAATTTCACCACAACAACTCTGCTAGGTGTAGTTTGTTAAATGCATGCAAATAAGAATATGTTTAAAGAGACATGTTTGTGTTTACATCAGGGTATTTGCCATTATGAATTAATCTAATGTTAATGCATGCTTATTGTCTGGTTGTTCGCTAGGAGCTCGCCTCCTAGGAGGAGGCCTGCACTGGTGCGGGGGCTCTCGCCAGCCCCATCTCCACGCATTTTCCACACATTTCATATATGCAAAATTATTATTAATTCATAGACAGTTTGCCTTAGTTTGCTCCTAAGAGGAGGGTCTTGTCTTCAGTGTTGGGCCCCTGTAGGTCGCTGGCTAGCCATCGTCTATACTTCACTGGCAAGCCCCAGTGTGCTGCCAGTGCACTGCACGTGTCTTGGGATGTGTTGGTATTTTTTCGCGGAAGTTTTGCGCAAATGCGTCATTTCTTTCAAAGAGAAGGACTGGTGACCAGCAATTAAATCACTAGTTTTGTCTATTTTTCCTGTTGTGCAGACGTTGTCTGAAGAAGCGTCCGTCGCATTAAAAAGGACCTTCAATTGCATTTTGCGAGTTTCAAGATGGTGTGAAAGTTAAAAGCACTCCATAAGAACTGGTAGAACCCTCTTTCTGGATTCACTCAAAAGTGTATCTCTGATATCCTTCATGACGCTGTACTTGGCTCCACTTCTTTGGGATTGCTTTTTATAAAGCAACTCCTCTTTATTTTGGGGTTTAAAAAGAATAAATAATTGTTATTGCTAGCTATTTGGGGGACAACACGTATGCTAGCACTCTGTCGCCCTTTTGTAAACACAAATGTTGTAAACACAAATGCCTTTTTTCTGAAAAAACCACCTTCTGTCGAGGCCAGAAAATAGATAACACAAAAGTTCCTACTGACTTGCGATTGCCCCTATTCATTCACTTCTGCTGGTTCTTCAGCGGGCTCGCAAGGCTCGTCTGCTGCTGCATTTGCTGCTGCATTTGCTGCTGCATTTGCTGCAGCACTTGCTGCTGCAGCTAGGGCTTCTGCTCTCTTCTCGTCAGCCAGCCTCTGGAAGATGTTAGCCAGGGCAAGTAGAGGATTAAAGCCCCCGGGCACTTCCTCTTTATGCTTCTGCACAAAACCCCACGGAATCCACTTCGCCTTATTAGCACATTCCATCAATTGTAAATATTATGTTGACATTACTTTCTACAACATCAATTGTAAATATTATGTTAACATTACTTTCTACAACATCAATTGTAAATATTATGTTAACATTACTTTCTACAACATCAATTGTGAATATTATGTTAACATTACTTTCTACAATTAAGCAGCAAAGCTGTGGCTTTGAACTGCATGCAGCACCACTCTAGTGCTGCAGCAAAAACAGTGATTTGCTGTTATAAAACTTTTCTTACAGACAACTTAGGCTCTATTTTCACTTCTGCTGAAAACGCTTTTTCCTCGAGAAACTTTCTCCGTTCCTTGTGAAGAGCCAACAAGGACATTTGCAGCGACCCGTCTTCGTAGGCCAAAAAGAGCAGCTGAAATAACACAAGTGCTGCTATAGAATGCAAGTTTTGAATTTTTTCACAAGTTCTCCAGCCAATTGTCTCAGTGAGATTTATCCTCCTTGATGTGTGAAACAACACAAGTGCCGCTATAAAAAAGTTTTGAATTTTTTCACAAGTTTTCATGCAAATTGTCTCAGTGAGATTATCCTCCTTGATGTGTGCCTTAACGCAAGTGCCGCGATAGAAAAGTTTTGAATTTTTTCACAAGTTCTCTTGCAAATTGTCTCAGTGAGATTATCCTCCTTGATGTACTTTACTAGAAACCCTGCAGCTGATTGGCCCACAGAAGAACTGGGCTGTTGTGCATGCAATCAGCAGCGGACTCTCTTTATTTGCATGACAGCAAACCACTCCAAGTTTTACTTTATTCTTTTGAAGACTGTTCAAAAGAATAAAGTAAAACTTGGAGTGGTTTGCTTTGCTTGTCTTTCCGTGATTGCAGTACCTCTGTCAGAGCCTGAGACAGCAGCAGCGAGGGAGAGAGAAGAAAATGAGGATCTAATTCTTTAAATGAGACTTTCTTTTCTAATTATTTGCGAGACTTTCTTTTTTAATTATTTGCGAGACTTGCTTTTCTAATTATTTGCGAGACTTTCTTTTTTAATTATTTTTGAGACTTTCTTTTCTAATTATTTTCTCATGCCTGTTGGATTGTTGGAAGCAGATTGGCTTTTACGTATTCCACGCAGGGCGGCTCCGCAGGCTCAGTTTCTTTGCTGCAGTGCTCAGCAAAGAAATCAGCAAAGGGCACTTCTGCTGCAGCTTCTGCTGCAGTTTCTGCTGCAGCTTCTGCTGCAGTTTCTGCTGCAGCTGCTGCTGCAGCTGCTGCTGCAGCTGCTGCTGCAGCTTCTTCGCTGCTCGCCTCTTCTTCGCCCTCTGCTTCTCTGTTCTCTTTTGCACTTAGGCGAATTGCGCTGCTGCTCCGGCGGTTGGGAGCGGCAATGCTGTAAGAACTTCCCCGGTCAGCCACTAAGAATAGAAACAGTAGAAAGCAGTCAACTCTTGCACTTTCTTCTCTGAATTTCCAGAAACTTTAATTATATTTTTAAAATATAATTAAAGTTTCAGAATACTTTCCCTTTTTTGGCCATTTTAACTATGCGTTTTGCCCCTCAGCGAGATTTTCACGGCTTTGTTCGAACTCCCTACAAAGGTGTCCATAGGCTCCACCCTTTGAGTTAATCTGTTTTTTCTGTTAAAGTTGTTCTTCCAGCCAACAATTTGAAGTAATTAAAACAAAATTTAAAACATTTGAGTTTATTTTCGGGTTTGCTCACTTATTAGTAGAGTGTTAGAGGCCAGTAGGAAGTCGGGTGTGCTGGCGCATGCAGCTTTATTTTGTCCAGAGTTCACTCTGTAGTGAAGTCAAGTTGTTTCCATTTGTCTTTTCTTTTCTTTTTATTTTTAAAATTGCAATTTAGAATTCGATTTCGAATCTGCAGCGACTGCAGGCCAAGTGTGCTTGGAGCGCATGCATTGAGCGGGGCTGAGGCTCTTTTTGCAAGATCTATCTCCAGAGTTTAACAAATTAAAAGCTGCATTATATTTTAATAAATATAATATAATAAATATATAATAAAATACTTTTATTTCACAAAATAAAGCTGAGTCCGGCCTGATTGTAGGCCCTTGATGTCTGCAGATAAAGCATTTACTAACAGCAGTTAAGAACACAAACAAAGAAGATGTGAAAGCTTTACCTGCATCCAAATAATGTTTGTTTTGCATTTTAAAAATTAATTATTTTTATGTTTATTTAAAAGTTCAATACTGCACACATCTGAATGCTTGATTTTGATTTTGCAAAGAAAGCCCGTGGGCCAGTGGCTTTCTTTGCAAAGTCAAATATTAAGCAAACTTCTTCTTTCTTAGGGCTGGTAAAACTAAATTCAACTTAATTTGTTTATTTAAAATGAATTCAACTTAATTTGTTTATTTAAAATGGATTCAACTTAGTTTGTTTATTTAAAATAAAATAAAATGAAATAAATTGCTCCTCAGTTTAGCCATTAACTTCAAAAATGGACTTAAAAGCCAGCTGGCAGGATTATTTTTCTGCATTTTTGTTTGCTGAAGTTTCCCAGAAATACAAAAATGAACTTTGCATTTTTGTTTTTCAAAAATGCATTTTTGCAGTTTTAAAAGTTCTTTCAAAGTCACAGTGGAGCAAACTTTGGAAAATGTATTCTGCAGAAAACTTGAAAATAACATTTATTGGAAAATCTAATTTGCAATAAACTTGAAAACAACATTTAATGCCATTCAATAAACTCGAAAACAACATTTGTTGCCATTCAATAAACTTGAAAACAACATTTAATAAAAATGTAATCTGCAATAAACTTGAAAACAACATTTAATGCCATTCAATAAACTTGAAAACAACATTTATTGGTAAATCTAATCTGCAATAAACTTGAAAACAACATTTAATGCCATTTAATATACTTGAAAACAACATTAAATGGAAAATCTAATCTTCAATAAACTTGAAAATAACATTTAATAAAAATGTAATCTTAAATAAACTTGAAAACAACATTTAATGCCACTCAATGAACTCGAAAACAACATTTAATTCCATTCCCCACATAAACTCTTTGAAAAAATAAAACTGCATGCATTATTTCAAACATTAGAAAATGTAATCTGTAATAAACTTGAAGACAAAAGTTAATGCCATTCCCCAAATAAACTCTTTGAAAAAATAAAACTGCATGCATAAAGTCCAGCAAACTTCAAGTTGAAGAATTTGTTAGTTCCTGCAGTTGCCATTTTAATTTGAAGTTCCACAAATTCTCATTTAATTCTGCAGCAATCTTCTCTTGAGAATAGTTTGAATCTTTGTGGCATTAAAAGCCTCTCTTGGCACTTTTGGCCCACTAAAGATGCCACTGGCAAACTGTTAATGGCATTTGTGGCAAAGATTAATGGCATTTGTGGCAAAGATTAATGGCATTTGTGGCAAACATTAATGGCATTTGTGGCAAACATTAATGGCATTTGTGGCAAAGATTAATGGCATTTGTGGCAAACATTAATGGCATTTGTGGCAAACATTAATGGCATTTGTGGCAAACATTAATGGCATTTGTGGC